TGATTCATTTTAAATTTCTTAAACAAATTTTTTTTTTTTTTTTTTTTTTTTGTATTTCTGACTAAATCGTTAAACTAAATCCGAATAACACAAAAATGTCAGTATTTAAGTTAGGAAAGTTTAAAGCAGATGTATATATTGTTGGAACGCGTCTCTAAAATTTTAGATAACAATTTTTTGTTTCTAAATATAGTGTGGTGATCCACTTAGTATTGCAAATAAATAAACTTAATCTGTTCTAATTATCTATTCTAAACTTCCAAAGACAACGACAACCTATACAACTTTTTAATTATAAATTAAATAATTAAATAAATATTTGGGTATATTCATATATATGAGAAATGAGTTTTGTAAAAAATTGCGGTGATTAGAGACTAAGAACAAAAATCCTTTAATGTTAGCTTAAAAATTCATCAACGATTTTATATAATATTACTATATATGATAATTATATTATTAGTTTTAATATTGAAGAAAAAATAATAACATTGACTCATTGCTCTCATATTTGAGGCTGGGGAAGGCGCTAACGTTTTAGTTGTCTCCAATCACCGAATTTTTTACATAACTTCCTCATAAATATGAAGATACCCAAATATGTATTTTTTTCATGTTTCAAAGTTGCTTAGCTCAAACATCTAAAAAAAAATGTCCACGGCCTTGATAAAGTTTTAGCAACCAAGAAATTAAATTTAATGATATTATGCTAATTTAAAATATTATGGTAAATTCATTTTCCTGTAAAAACATTTAATAAAAGATTCTTAATTTTTTATTTATGTTAAACAGTTTAGATTTGTTTTTAAAACAATAAAATCATTTGATTTAGGAAAACGTTTGAATTTTATTTGCCTTGCAGTTAACCCCCTGTTTAAAATGCAACACAAATTTTATAATACTATGAGTTAATTATAAAAATTTATATTACAAATTTTTAGAAGACAGCCAACCTCAACTGACATTAGTAGTCTTCTTAAATCAGTGCTTTTTTTACCCTTGACAGGTACATTTGTCCAGGACAGGGCCTTCCCAAAAGAGGTTTTTCATTGGGGCTGTCGTATGTGCTTTTTTGCCAACTAAAATGCTAAATGTGCTAACTCAAATGTATTAATAACAGCTTTAGAGGAAGGGGGTGGGGCGCCCCCCGTTTAGGACGACCCTGGTCCAGGTACTTAAAATTTTTAGGGGTAACTAGCGTGTCACAATAGAACTTGGAAATTTTACTGAATGAAAAAAATAAAATCCAGATAAATTTCAGCGTCAATTAAAATAGTGTTTTATATTACGAGTTTTACCCTCATATGAACTTTTTAATTTAGTGAGGAGCCAACAAAACTTACTACTCCAATGTTATACCAACATTGCGTTATAAGACAATTTGAATCGATTTACTCAAGTCACTACTACTGGAAACGTGTTTAAAGTGTATATAAGATGTTTTATATTTTTAAGTTAATAAAAGTATAATTTTGCCGACTGATTTTTCAGTTAAATCTAATTAAAGACAGTACTGGTAAAAACTACTTTTCTGTGTCCTGATTTTATTTTAGCTTGTGATTTAATAAAAGTATAATTCACTTAGATCTAATTAAAGATAGTACTGGTATCTAATGGATATATGGATCTAATTAAAGATAGTACATATATAAATATTAGAGTAATATATGAATCTAATTAAAGATAGTACTACTTATTTTCTGTATCCTGATTTTATTTTACATTGTGATTTTATTGGAAATTAAAAAAAAGGCTTCAAAAAATTTAATAATTATTAGTACTGTATGCCTAGTCAGCGAGCATTGTACAGTGTTTATTACCTTATGGTACGGTTTACTGCACAATCAACGTTACCATCAAGTCAATGCTGCCTACTACCCCGGAACAAGGATAAGTAAAATATATTAGTTAATTAAGGATAAGTAAAATATATATGTATTTATTTCCTTCTACTTTTGCGAAACATTAAAATATCAATACATGCTATCTAATTAAGTGATTGCCAACTAATGTCTTAAAACGACATGGTTTATAAGTTGCTTTCTGTTGATCTTTTTTTTAAAAAATTGTCTTACAAATTGTTAATCGCATAGCATCTGAAAGTTCAAGTAACGTTTTTTTATTATGTTTTGTTTCTTCTTATGTTAATTTTAAAATCAATTGTTCCGTGCTGATGATTTTGTTGAGTGTCTGCTTCTCTAAATAACTACCAAAACAGTTTCATCTATTTAATTTAAAAATTATTGGAGATGTCAATCTTCAACCAACATTTCCCAAAGCAACCGGTGTTTTGAGTGCATTCAAAGATTTGGAAAACCTGCATAGCGTCTGCCGCAACATGGACAACAACCTTCTGAGATTCTGCCCAATAATATCGTGAACAATAGACATAATTGTGCTTTTACTAACCCTATTGAAAATTAAAAATAATAAAAATTTATAACTTATAGTTTTATCTATAATTATAAATTATTAAACAATATAAGTACTGCGCCCATCATTAGACGCCCATCATCAAGCGTAATTGAAAATCATAATAGTTGTTCAAATACTGTTATCATGAAAAAAAACTTTCACAAAAAATGTTAAACTACCTAATTCATAAAATTAATCTTTTATAAATATTTTATTAATAACAAAATTAAAAAGTTTAATAATGGTTTGTTTAAAAACGTAGCAATCTTTTTAATAAACAAACCAACTACAGTAACAATAAAATCAGCTTTATTAACAAGTAATATTATAGAGGTTGTCCATAAATTAAGTTTTTAAGTTTTGTGATTTTTATAGGCAATGTCAGTGCCCTAGTAAGTGTCCTAGTTAAAGGGCTGACATCAAATCAACTTGAAAACTTTAATTTAAATGTTAAATTTAATTTATTTTTCACTTTAAATTTAAAAAAATAGATAAAAGAATAATGAAAAAATTTGTTGCTGCGCCAACCCAAACCCTATATATATATAAACCCATATATCTATATCAGTTGATGTATGTACTGAAGCCCCCACAGCTCTCTATTTCAGTATGACATTGTTGGTGTGTGTATATATATGAGGTTTTATGATGAACAAGATTGTGTAACTTTGTTTTAACTTCAGTAATTAAAATGTACTATAATTATACTTGTTAATTGCTCAAAAAAGTAGCAAGACTTCTTTAATATATGAATCAGATGTCATATATAAATCGTTAAAAAATTTTAACCTACATTATGCACAAAATTACAAAATAAATGTTGCTCATGATAAAATGTATAATAAGGTTTATTGACTAGGTATTCATGAGTTTAATATACATGTTTTTGCTATAATTTTAAATTGGATTTAGTTTTGGATAGTGTCTATTGGCACGGCCGCCGTGTACAACTTCTAAAAAAGACTATTGGCTTGGCTGCCATTGAAACAGTTAAAAAAAGGTGTTTGCACGGTCAAACTGGCAAAATTTGAAATAGGACTGCACCGTAACTTTAGAATTAATTAATAGGTACAACAAAACAAATTAAAAGCTGAAAAGGAAAATCTGAAAGAAAATGAAAACTTTGGTAATTACATAGAATTCTAAAAAAACACAAAAAGAACAAGTAAAATTAAAAATTTTCAAAACCCAGTGCTTTTATATGTTTTAAAAACACAAATTTTGCAATAAGTTTTTTCTGATAATGCTATTTTATTTTTTTAAGATTCGGCTGTATGCATGTGTAAAATAAAAAAAAATATCCAGGAAGAGACAAGACTCGACCCTCCGAACTTCAGTTTACGAAGTCAATGACTTTACCAAATAAGCTCAACGCGCATTTAAGTATTCAAACAATTAGTATACTTATTTATAAATTTTAAATTCTTCTTTCCTTAAAAAAAATAAATTTAATTACAATTAACTAAATTAGTTAACTTAAATATTGTATTGTCATCTTTATTGTATTTGTTGTCAGGTCAGGAGTATGGTCTTCATGATCATCCTACTACTGGTAACATGTAACCCAGTGCAACCTGTTCCATGTTCTGCTGCCTTGCAGGATTTGCTATCTAAGCAAAGGCTGGAAGGAGTGTTTTTCCTGTCATCAGTACTATCTTATATCAGTCATGCCTATAGTAATTTTTTTTTTTTTTTTTTCCCCAAATATAGTTGGAGGTGCCTTAGTTACTGTATTAGCTTACCTGTAATCTACGTTATATGTATGTTTGTGTTCTGTCTGAACCTCTGGCGCGGTGTTCGCTCACCCTTAAGTTACTTTATGTTCTTTATGTATGTCTGTGTTCTGTCTGAACCTCTGGCGCGGTGTTCGCTCACCCGTAAGTTACTTTATGTTTATGTTTATGTTTTTTATGTTTTTTTATGTATGTTTGTGTTCTGTCTGAACCTCTGGCGCGGTGTTTGCTCACCCGTAAGTTACTTTATGTTTTTTATGTATGTTTGTGTTCTGTCTGAACCTCTATCGCGGTGTTGACTCACCCGTAAGTTGATTTATGTCTATGTTTGTTTGTGTTCTGTTTATACTCTAATGCAGCGTGAGCTCAGTAACTAACTACTTACTCCAACTACAAAACGTACACTCACCTTAGACTCCTGTATTTTGTTAGATGCAGTGTTTTTCCTAATGCACTTCCGAAATGTCATGCCTGGTTTTCTCAAAGTACTGTTGCGGGAAGTAACTCCTTTTAACTACTCCAGGTCAGGTCAGGTCAGGATAATCGAGATCAATCTTGCTACTGGTATCACGTAACCTAGTACCACCTGCCACAAGCCCTGCTGCCTTGCAGAGTGTGCTCTTCTTATGCAAAGGCTAGGAGAAATAAACTCCGACTAAAAATTCCCCTGCCTTGGGGCTCTTGGTTGAGTAAAGGCTAGAGATGGTGTCTCGATAAAAATACTCATCTTGGGCAGATGTTAACTGCATCCTGCTACTGTCTTGTAGAAGGCCTTCTAGGCAAAGACTTTAGAGGTAAGCAGAAAAATTCTGCTAACCAGCCTCGAACCCCTTCTTCATCTATTAGGCTGGC